ACTAGATTGTGGCCATCTGTCACCCCTTGCATCATTTAATCATCATGAACCCTCACCTCTGTGGCTTTTTAGTTTTCGTGTCTGTTTTGTTTAGCCTTTTGGAATCCCAGCTCCACCACTTGATCATCTTACAATTTTCCTACTTCAAGATCATTGTAATGTTTTGAGCAACTAATAAAAAAAATACTGTAGAGTGATTAACATGATTCAGATGTCCATCAACTTGGGAATAGCCCCCAAACCTATTGTTCAGTGAATAAAAGTTACACTTTAAACGGTAAAAATAAAAGATGTGGACATTTCAAATTTCTTTTGTGACCCTTCTCAACTCCTTAGTCTTGCTTGTTCTGATAAATTTACCAACAACAGAGTCATGTATTTTATTGGAGTCATGTTTAAATTTTTCCCCATCTCAGGGATCATTTTTCTTACTATAAAATTGTTTCATCCATTCTTAGAAATCCCTCTGCAGGTGGAGAGTACAAAGCCTCCTCCACCTGTGGTTCTCACCTGGCAGTTGGTGGCTTATTTTATGGAACAGCCATTAAAGTGTGTCTTGATTCTGCTACCTCACATTCTCCCAGAAAGGGTATGGTGGGCCTCAGTGTTATATACTGTGGTCACCCCCTGTTGAATCCCTTCATCTACAGCCTGAGAAAAAAAGACATTATGGTGCCTTGAGAAGGATCCACAGCAGGATGGTCTAATCTCACAACCTTTGACATCCATTTTGAATGTAGGTTGGAGTTGGCAGCAAAACTAAACAAGTAGACCTATTAGCCATTCCTCATTCCTTATATCAATTTTTGTTGATTTTTGACTTAATTTTTCATTGTATTTAATAGTAAAATGGTCATTGCCAGTGTTGGAATACAGAAGAGTGAAATTTTTTCAATGTACAAAGTTTTGGTTTTGGAAGTTAAAATATTTCGAAAAATGGGTGTTGATTATAGCTGCACAACAAGGTTAATGGGTTGAATACATAGTTCACATGAAATGTTACAGTTTTGATAGATATCTCTTTCCACAATGAACAACAACATAAAAAATACAGATAGCTCTTTTAAAAACAAATAAGGCTAGGGATATAGCTGATTG